TGAAACAGATGAGGGAGAGAACTGTTTAAAAGGGATATATGATTGAGTATTACTGTCATGGCAAGAGTCCAGAATGAAGGCTGCTCAGTGGAGTGGACTTGGGGGGAGGCACTGCATAACAATGAAGGCGTTTTACTTTTCAAGGAGAAGAGTAAATTGGGGGGGGTAGGGAGTGGGCAGGGAGAAAAGTGCAACACTGAATGACTGGAAACCCTAAGTCTCTGTAAACTTTCATTAAAATTAATTTTTAAAAATGGGAAAAAATGTTATTATAGTATGTAGTTCTAGTAGAAACAGAAGAACCTGTAAAAAGAACAGGAAATGTTTAAAGGAATGATTTGCAGCTTTCAATATGGATTGAAGCTCAACATGAAGAAAACAAAGATACTTACCAGTTGGCAGCATCATGATAGATGGAGAGATTGAGACGGTTGACAGCTTCAGTTTTCTTGGCTCTAAATCAACACTCTTGGTACCAGCAGCCAGGAAATTAAAAGATGAATTGCATTGGGAAAGTCTGCTGTTAGAGACCTCTTCAAAGTACTGAAGAGCAACAATGTCAGTCTGGAGACTAAGGTGTGCCTGATCAGGCCATCGTCTTCACAATTACTTGCGATGCATCAGAGAGCTAGACAGTGACTAAGGATGATAGAAGGAGAGTTGATGCCTTTGAGCTGTAGTGCTGGAGAAGAGTATACCATGGACTACTAGGAGAACAAACAAATTCATCAGGAAGAGGGTGAAGCCAGGCTGCTCCTTGGAGACAAGGATTCTGAAGCTTCGTCTGACGTACTCTGGACATGTTGTAAGGCCAGGATCAGTCCTTGAAGAGGAATGTTATGCTTGGGAGGGTGGAGAGACAGCACAGGAGAGGAAGACCTTTGATGAGATGGATTGATTCAGTCACTGCAGTAATGGGGATAGGTATGTCAGTGACAATGGGATTGGCAAGGGATAGAGCAGAGTTTAGGGTTGCTGTACATAGGGTTGCTATGAGTCACAGGCAACTCAATGGCACATACCAACAACAAACAGTACATTTAATTGGCTAGCACGGGGGGGAGGGGGGCAAAACAACTGTCTGTATTACATATTCTGTTTTCCTGAAAAAGTCACTTAAGTATCCTCATCCATAAAAGAAAAAGTTGAATTAGATACCAAAGATATGTCTTGGTTCTAAAGTACTGAGATTCTTTATGAGTTTAAGTGTTAGCAATATGTAAATAGAATTTTCCCACAGAAATTTAGATACTCAGTGTACCTTCTCAGAAGAAAGATTAGAATTTTAGCAGTCTTCTAGGTTGAAGCAATAACTATATCCATTAAATCAGATGTAAGCTATAAATGAAAAGTATGGTCAGGAAAAAAAGCCAAAGACTGAGCCTATGGGAATACCCACTTTCTGAGGAAGGAAGAAGTAGAGTCATTCAGAGGCTTAGACATTACTGTCAGGTAAAAGAATTAGGGCAGTCATGGGATCCAAAGGAGGAGAGTTTCAATCAATAGGCAGAATCAAGGCTATCAAATAGCAGAAATCATGAAGTGCATAGCTTCTGTAAACATTCCTGGATTTATCTATTAAGTGGAAGTTCCAATTCTCTACTATTCAGATGCTGACATTGAAGATACAATAAATCATTGGCAGTGGAAGTTAGGTTGCAAAGGGTAGACAGGAATTAGAAACTGGGATATTTCTCTAATAAGAAACAGAAGGAAAAAGAGGAAGAAGAGCAATATTGAGAAATATTTTCAAGATACAGAAACTTGATCAACTTTTAAGAGAAATAATTATTATGGGGAACAAATAAAAAGTTGCAAGGTAAAGGGAATAGCCAATACAAAGCAAGTTCTTGAAGTGAAAGGTATTCAATCAAAATTACAAATGTAGAGGTTTGCCCCTAGGAAGTAGTTCATGTTCTCTGAAATAAACCACCACCAAAAAAATGCAATCTCATTGTCATCTAGGGAGCTCTGATGTTCTAAGTCCATTGTTCTTGTTGCTGACTGCCATTAAGTCAACCATGACTCAGCAACCCTGTGAATAACAGATCTGAACTTTGCCCTACCCTGTGCTGTTTTCACTATTTTCTGAGTCCATTGCTGTAAAGAGTTGCAAAGTATTACCTCTCTGGCAGTTCAAATGCACAAGCAGTTCCTCAGGATGAAGATGGTTGGATAAGGTGATTTACAGCCTCGCCTCTCAAAAACTGCTGGAGGGTTCTGCCTCATTGACAATGTGAGTCATTCCATCCAGTTGGTTCTGTCTTTCTCTTTTAGAGTAGCTGGTGGATTAGAACCACCAACACAGCCTTTTGGTTAGCAATCAAACCCTATAGACCCTCACCCTACAGAATAGGCCACTAAAGCTCCCTAAAGGGAGAAATTGGTCACTAACAGAAGGCTTAAGAAATGTAGGTAGGGTGAGGGAATGTACAGATAGCTAAGATGAATGTACTACAGAGCAATGCCAAAAAATTATAATAATCTTACACGCGTAAAAATTTAAAGAGAGGAAATGGTTTTGTAGAAACTTGAATGTTGTTTGTTATTTGCCGTAGAGTCACCTGTGACTCATAGAGACCCTATGTACTACAGCCCTAAACCTTGCTCTATGTTGTGCCAATCTTATTGTCTCTGACACACCTACCCCCATTCTCCAGTCATTCAATCAGTCTATCTCATTGAGGGTCTTTCTGTCCTGTGCTGTCCCTCCATCTTCCCAGGCATGATGTCCCTCTCCAAGAACTGGTCCCTCCTTGCAAGATGTCCAAAGTATGTCAGACGAAGCTTCAGAATCCTTGACTCCAAGGAGCAGCCTGGCTTTACCCTCTCCAGGATGAACTTGTTTATTCTCCTAGCAGTCCATGGTATACTTTTCTCCAGCACCACAGCTCAAAGGCATCAACTCTCTTTCTATCATCACTAGTCATTGTCCAGCTCTCTGATGCATAGCACTTGATTGACAAGACTATGGCCTGGATCAGGCATACCTTAGTCTTCAGATTGACCTCATTGCTTTTAAGTACTTTGGAGAAGTTCCTGACAGCATATTTTCCCAATGCAATTCATCTTTTAATTACCCAGCTGCTGGTGCCAAGAGTGTTGATTGTGGAGCCAAGCAAACTAAAGATGTTAACAATCTCAGTTTCTTCACCATCTATCATGATGTTGCCAATCAGCCCAACGGTGAGACATCTTTGTTTTTTTGATATTGAGCTTCAATCCATATTGAAGGCTACAGTCCTTAATCTTCTTCAGCAAACACTTCAGGTCCTTCTCAGTTTCAGCAAGCAGTTTTGTGTCATCTGAATAACCCAGATTGATGATGTGTCTTTCTCAAATCCTGATGCCACATTTCTCCTCACAAGAGCCCAGCCTCCTGGATTATCTTTTCTGCATATAGGTTGAAAAGGTATGGACATAGGACACATTCCTGGCGTACACCTTTCCCAATTTTGAATCATGCAGTGTTTCCTTGCTCTGTTCTGACAACTATCTCCTAGTCCAAATATATGTTTCATGTAAGCACAATCAAATGTTCTGGGATTCTCATAGGAATGGCTGTGTTTGACTATGCAAAGGTGTTTGACAGTGTGGACCATAACAAACTGTGGCTAACTCAGAGAAGAAACTTGGATAAATGAGAAAAAGAGTAATATAGGGAAAGGGGTGGCTGTTGAAGTTAGATGTGGTTAAGTCAATTAGGACTCACAGCAACCCTATGAACAACAGATCAAAATCCTGCCTTATCCTATGCCATCCTTGCAAGTTCCATCATGATTGAGCCCATTGTTACAGTTACTGTATCAATCCATCTTGTTGAAGGCCTTCCTCTCTTTCACTGACCTTCTACCTTTCCCTGCATGATGTCTTTTCTCAAAGACTTGATGCCTCTTGACAACAGGTCCAAAGTATGTGAGATCCTTGCTTCTAAGAGCATTCAGGTTACACTGTCTCCAAGACAGATTTGTTTAACATGGAACTCTTCGCCAACACTGTAATTCAAAGGCATTGATTGTTCTGCCATCATTATTCCTTGTTCAACTTTGTAATGCATAGGAAGCAATCTACCTTGGCTCACATTATGTAGTTATTCCTTTGTATATGCAGATATATTTATGAGCTTCATTTTGCCTTCTGACAGTACCAGGTTGCTTTTCTTAGTCTAACACATCTAGCTGCAGCTTTTTGTGTTAAGAATGGACCTGGGTGTCTGAGGGGAACTCCATCTTGACAATTCAAGACACCCCTCTTCAAAACTGGCAATCACTGTTTTTCAAATAAAGAAACTGTCTTGAGTGACCCTCCACTTGTAGGAGATTACATGTGCAAAGTGCAAAGAGCTTTCCCACAAAGTAGAGGAAAATACTAGTCTTGGACCAGACTGTAAGAGATACAAAAGGAGAGGTACTTGTTTCTGAGTCTGAATGAAAACACAGACCCAACTCTGAACCCTGTCATTGTCTCAAGGGTGTGTGCTTAGGAAGATAGTAGCTGAGAGGAGAAGAGTTGCTTTCCCAAAGACAAATACTATATAAAACCATTATTGTAAAATGAGTATGAGGATCCATGGTGGGGGGAGGGTAAAAATAGAGGGGGAGGAGGGGGGAGGGGAGGATGTTAATCATAAGGTTGTGCAGTTCAGTGGGTGGGTGGGGTAAAGGAAATGGGAAGGATCTTTCGTAAAAAACAATGTATTCAAATTTTGTAAATAAATCAGAATAAAATTTTTTTTAAACCCCCCCCCCAAAAAAAAGAGTTGCTTTCCCTCTACCACAGGACTTACATTATCACAACCAGACTTCTATCTTGGTGGAGCTCATGTTCAGGAATATTTCTATCCCTCTTCTTTCTTTCTCCAGAAAATAAAGGTTGGTATTCAAGGCAGAAGGTTTTTCATTTCCCTTCAGTAAGCAAACTTTTTATATATAAAATTTTTTTTAATTAGAAAGGATTTGTAGTCTCTCAACACAAATACACACAATTAAAATATATAATATTTATATACACATGTATCTACACAAGTTGGGAATCACATAGGAGTGAAGAAGCTGAACAACAGGGGCAACTGGAAGATGGTTTCTCATCTGCTCTAGGTGTCCCAGGGTCAACCACTGTCCCTGATAGGTAGACCAGGAGAGACGGTGCAGTTTGAAGGCAGAATCATTGGCAAACTGTTGCAACAAGGTCCTTCTCCAGATAGTTTTTCAGGATCACTGAGGTGACTGGAGATGCTGTAGGAGTTGGAACTGGAGTGGATGGAGCAGAATGTGTGAAGGGCTGCACTCCATGCTGGAGTAAAAAGATGACACCAATACTGGTTCCAGTGCCTAAAGGACCATGGCTTAGAGAGATGGTGCCTGGGGAACTAAGAGGGGGGTTGCAAATTGGAGTTGTATGGATCCAGGTGAGGTCCATGGCTGGCCACTCTGTAAGGTGCCAAGGCTGCTTCTGTTTCAAAAGTATATGTCCAAACTGTGTCTGTTTCATCTTTTCCATGGGAGGTGCCAAAGAGGAAACACCCAGATTAGTGGGATGTCTTGGTAAATGCTAGAAAGAACAAGAAATGAGAGAGAGAAAAAAAGTTGAAAAGCTTTCTGGTTAGTTCTGCCTGGTTTCTTATTTTTTTCCCCTCCTTGGGAATGTACTTCACAATCAAAACATACCTTGTTTTATTCAAGTTATGTTTCTGCCAGATAGTGAAAGTTTTGGAAACTCTATTATACTTTTATTCAACAAACACTTGAGAATATAGTATGTACCACATACACACTTTATTAAGTACTGAATAGTCAGACATGAATATATTATAACCAACATAACCAACAGTTCCATATGTTCTTATTAATTACAAAAATCTATTATAAGAATTAAAAGAATTTCTTTTATAATTTGATTTTTGGTTATTTTCCTTTTGATTTCTTGTTTTCCTATTATTTATTCATTGTTGCACATTTTCTTCCTCCTTCTCTCCCCCTCCTCCAGCCTGCCCCACAATGCACCCCCTGTTCCAAATTATTCTCATACACATAATACATTAATTATATATTCTTTTTGGACAGTTCTTCCCCTCATCTGTTGTAATGCAGTGTTAATTATCTATCCACTCTTTCCCCATTCTCTCTTCAACCCCCCATGTCTGTCCTATTTTATTAAAGCAGTATTATGCAGTATTTGTCCTTTTGTGACTGAGATATTTCACTTAGTGTAATGTTCTCAAGGCTCCCCCATGTGGTGTAATGTTCAATGGTGCATAGTAGTCCATGGTGTGGATGTACCATAGTTTTTCTGTCCATTTGTTAATTGATGGGATCTTTTTGTTATTGTAAATAATGCAACAATAAACAAAGGTGTGCATCTTTTTATAATCTATTTAAAGAAAAGTCTACGTTTAGAGTATATGTGTAAGCTGTCAATCAGAACTGACTCATAGCTGATCTGCTAGTGGTTTTCAGAGGCAGTAAGTCCTAGGAAAGGAGACTGCCCACCTTTCTTCCACAGAGCAGTTGGTGGATTTGAACCACCTCCCTTGGGGTTGGCAGCACAACTCCTTACCCATGAAGCTGCTAGAGCTCCCTCTACATTTAATAGGCATCATCATTTCCGTTTCTATACTGTAAAGTCTAAATTCTTATGTAATCTACACGTGAAATATAAACTAGTAAGTACAGAAGGTCTTGCTGCTTATTTTTTTAAGTTGGTCTGCTTAACAAAGTTCATATACATTGTCTTTCACACTATCCTCTATTTGCACTGTGTTTCATACAATCATTTCCATTCATTATATTTTATAAAATTAATCAACATTGAACTATGCCCACCATTACCCTGTCTTTCCAGATCCCTGTTGGATCTTTTCCATTTCCTTTACTCACCCCTCCCTCCAACCACCAAATTGTACAGCCCTATGACTTCCCTCCTGCCTATCCTTATTCTTAAAGCAGACACTCAATACTAACTGGTAGATGGAAAACAAAAAGGATTGGCCTTTATCTATAGGAGAATTTTCCTTTCCCTATCATTTGAATACTGCCCAAATACTCTTATTTGAAAGCACAGAAAACAGGTTAAGCCACACTAAGTCAAAGTATCTATTCAAGCTTTATATGTGCTTCTCCCCAATGATGTACCTCATATGATCAGTGTTTGAAGCACAGTTTAAAGATTAAAAACTGTCTAGGAGCTTGGTACAAATATTCTTGGGCAGAATTGGAAAGAGGAAGAAGCAAAGGATTTAAGAGAGGAACAGAGGAGAAAGCATTTGCAAGAAGAAGCCAGGCATTTTCCTGAATTTGGCCCAGTAAAAGCCTTACGTATCTTGTAGTTGCACCAAGAGGGACAGGATTAAACTTCATGGAATTCTTCCCAGTGATTCAAATAAAATAAAACTCAACTATCTAGGATTCAAGACAATGGAAGAACCATAGATCTTTCCTCTTAAAATAAGATTGATGAAAACAAGAAAATAATCAGAAAAAAATGGAAGGAAGAGCCCATTTCTGCATGCATACTTCTTTTTGCTTGGTTACTGTCTCATCTTTTATTCACACTTTCAAGTTCTCACCTTAGGTAGGTGGTGCCTGCTTTCACTCAAAGATGACCTCTGGACAGCTATATGAGGAAACCAAGTCTTTAACATCCCTTCGACCTGCAGTAGAGTTCCTAGATAACGCTCTCTGGCAAGGGGACATTAAGAAAAGAGAGAGAGAGAGACATTAAGGATAAAAAAAAAGAAAAGAGGATCAGAGATCTCTCATTTTAATGAGTTATTAAGAAAATAACCAGGAGACTTACCCCATATGTGGCTTCTGCAAAACACCTACAATACGTTGGATCCTGTCCATTGCTACACTCTGCTGGAAACTGCTCAATCCTGGAGTCAGAGAGAAAGAGTGATTAAGTACTGAGATTCAAACTTCTAGTCAGGTAAAAGACTACAAAGAGATTAAAACTGAATTACCAAAAGAAATTAAGTATTAGAAATACTTGAGTAGTTGTTGATTTATTTCTTTGAAAAAATTGATGAATGAAACCTTATGAATTGCAGTGGAACACTGTCTCATATAGTGCCTGAAGACAAGCCCCTCATGATGAAAGCACTCAAACTCTGTAAGAGCTGCCACCTCAAAGTACAGTGGACCTTAATGATGTAGATAAAGTAAACCTTTGTTGTTGTTGTTTGGTGTCACTGAGTCAATTACAATTCATAGTGTTTTTATGAACAAAAGATATTTGCTCTATGTTACCCTATCTTCTATCTTTCCCAGCATAGTGTCTTTATCTAACAACTAGCTTCAGGGACCTTCATTTGCTGATGCAACACAACTCAAAATGCAAACATCCATTAATAATCAGAATGTGGAATGTATAAAGTATGAATACAGGAACACTGGAAGTTACAAAAAAATGAAATAGAATATTTGAAAATAGATATCCTAGACATCTGTGAACTCAAATGGACTGTTACTGACCATTCTGAACTGGATACTCATGTGGTCTACTACACCATGAATGACAGACTGAAGAGGAATGATATCACATTAATTGACAAAAAGAACATTTCAAGATCTATCCTGAACCACACACTATCAGTAATAGGATGCTATCTTTCTTACACAGAAGATCAATAGATTTTACTAGGTTTAAAATTCACACACCAACTGCTAGTGCCAAAGAGAAGGAAATAAGATTTTTAATAACTTCTGCAATCTAAAATTACTCAAACATGCAATTAAGATGCATTTATAATTACTAGTAATTACAATGCCAAAGCTGGAAACAAACCAAGATCAGTAGTTGAAAATATAGCCATATCCCAGAGGTGCACATTTTGAACCCACCAAAACGCTCTGCTGGAGAAGGAGGGACAATCTCCTCCTGTACCTGTCAGATCTGATTTGACAGTATACACACAAAAAATAATAAGACTTTTTTTTAAAAAAAAAAGGAAAAAGAAAATATAGCCTTCAGATGATATAATTTTGCAAGACCAACAACTTTTGTATTGGAAATACCATTTCCCCCCCAATAAAATAAATGGCAACTATATATGAAGTCCTAACCAGATAAAATTTATAGATATCAATCAACTTTATAGGTAGAAAGAAACAATGAAGAAACTGATCACAGCAAAGCTGGAGATCAAGTAAAAAAACCATCAACTGCTTACATGCAAGTTCATGTTGAAACCAAACAAAATTAAAATAAGTCTTTCAAAGTATTGACCATGTGTATATCCTACCTCATTTACATAACCACAAAAAATTTTGATCATCTCAGGAACAGATTTGACACAATGAATACTAATGACTAATAACCTGCTGAGTTGTCAGATGACATCAAGAAAATCATGAAGAAAGCAAAAGGCCATTAAAAAAAACCCAAAATGGATGTCAGAATACACTGAAACCTGATCTTGATCATATAGTAGCTAAAGCAAATGAAAAATATGATAATGTAAAAGAGTGAAACAGAACACTTCAAAAGGCAGCTCAAGAAGACAAAGTAAAAATAGTAGAAAAGCAGAACACACTTAGTATTTCTTAAGCAGAAAAGACAGGGGCAAAAATTCAAACCTTGAAAAAAAATTCAAGCCTTGAGCTGCAATACTGATGGGTTCAATAAGTAAAATAAGGAACCCTGGGGCACAGTCCATAGGAAGCTGCACTGCTAACACAAAAGCCAAGGTTGTCTAACAGTTCAAATCCACCACCCATTCCTCAGGAGAAAGACAGGACAGTCTCTTATGTGATTTATAGCCTCAGAAACCCAATAGTCACTGATCAGTAAGTGTCATCTCTTTGATAATGAAAAGAGAGTACAGGAAAATATTTAACAATGAGAAGGCACCAAAAATGATGGAAGGTATTCACAAAGTCACCATACCAAAAAGAATCAGTCAATATTCAACCATTTCAGGAGATCAAGAACTGAAAGTATTGAGAAAGTCTAACCTGTATTGAAGGCAATGGCAAAAAAGATCCCAGGAGTTGACCAAATATTATTGAGATGTTTCAACAAATGAATATGACACTGGAAATGCTTACTCATCTCTGCCAAGAAATCTGACAAATCAACTGGAGGAGATTCAGATTTGTGCCTATTTCTAAGAAAACTTATCTACCAGAATATGGAAATGACTGAAATATATCATTAATACCACATGCAAATGAAATTTTACTGAATAATTAAAATTGGTCTCATTAACAAGGAACTACCAGAAATTCAAGAGGTTGTAGAATAAGAGCTATGGTTTGAGGGAGCTCTGGTGGCCTAGTGGCAAGAAGCTGGGCTGCAATCCCAAAGGCACATGGTTCGAATCCACCAGATGCTCCACTGGAGAAGGGGCAATCTCCTCCTGTACCAGATGGATCTGATTCGATGGTACACACACACACACACACACACACACACACACACACACTCTAAAAATTTAAAAAAAAAAGAGAGCGAGAGATGTTCTTGGCTGAAAACAGAGAGTCCCAGAAAGATGTTTACCTGTGTTTTATCAACTACGCAAAAGCATTGAACTGTATGGATCATGACAATTTATGAGTCACACTGAAAAGAATGAGAATTCTAGAATACTTGATTTTGCTCATGCAGAAACTATATATAGAACAAAAAGCAGCTGTTCAAACAGAACAAAGGGATGCTGTACAGTTTAAAATAAAAGAAGGTGTGCACTGGAGTCATGCACTCTCACCATATTTAACCAATCTGTATGCTGATCAAATAATCCAAGAAGCTAAACTGTATGTAAAACTGTGTCAGGATTAGAAAAATAATAACATTCTGATTATATAGATGATATAACATTTCTTGCTGAAGGCAAAAACACTTGAAGTACTTACTGGGAAGATCAAAGACTTATTGAATAGCATTCAATATGGATTATATTTCAACAGAAAGAAAACATCCTCACAAATGGGCCAATAGGCAATATTATGACAAATGAAGAAAAAAAACTGAAGTTAATGATTTAATTTTATTTGGATTCACAATCGATGCCTATGAAGCAGGAATCAAGCAAGAGATCAAATAGTATACTGCATTAAGTAAATCTGAAAAACATCTCTTTAAAGTCTAAGGTGTGACTAACCCAAGCCACAATATTTTTTTCAGCTGTCTTATATGCACATGATAGCTGGGACAATGAGTTAAGAAAACCCACATAAGAATTGATACTTTTGAATTATGGTACTAGAAAAGAATATTAAATATATCATAAAGAAGAAAGATCAAATTTGTCTTGAAGAAGTACAGTAAGCATGATCCTTCAAAGGAAGAATGCAAAACTTCAACTCACATACCATGAACATGTAATCAGGAGGGACCAGTCTCTGAAGAGCATCCTACTTCAAAGGGAAAAGGGTCAGCCAAAAAGATGACTCTTAGGGAGCTCTGGTGGCCTAGTAGCAAGACACTGCACTGCAATCCCAGAGGTATGCAGTTCAAATCCACCAGATGCTCTGCTGGAGAAGGAGGGGGCAATCTCCTCCTGTACCAGTCAGATCTGATTTGATGGTACATGTAAAAATAATACAAT